GCTGGATGCTAGAGTGCTCTATATTCCAGCACTCAGCACAAGATGCAGCAGCATTTTGGCAGGTCACCCAGCTTTTTTCACATTCCCGACACATGCAACTGGGCCCCACCTACATATAGAATCCTTCCGGCCACATACTCCTGGACACTATATACATTAGCCTTTTAATGTTCAGAGTACTCTTACATAGGTCTATGTTTTCCAGGATCCAGACAGAGGCTATAGAAGTCCAACTGGCTTCCTGGGTCCCCTGTTACATGGGGGCCCAGGCCATCTCTCAACACCAGGTGGAAGACCCCTTTTCCTCGATGACCCACTGCTGAGCTGACCAGGCTTGCAACAATAAATGCATTAACTATTCTCCCTGGTTATTGGCTTTACTCTATATTACTCCTGATAGAACTTGACACAAAGGCTTCTGTCTGTAGAAATAACCCACATGGAAGAAAAATATATTTGAAATATATTTTAAAAATATTATTCCCAAATAAATTGCCATATATTTGAAATACTACAATTTTGGCCATATTCAATATATTTCAGAATATATTTCAATAAATAATATTTTTTTAACATATATAAAAAAGTCATTTTAACATACTGTATATTTTTACATATACTTGTAAATGCATTCCAAAAATGTAGATTTGTATTTTTAAAGACATACAGTATATTTGAAATGTATTTTAAAAAATATTTTTCAGATATTCTGTAATAAAAATGTATTTCAACATGCAGTATGTATATGTATGTGTGTATATATGTATGTGTGTATATATATATATATATATATATATATATTTATTTTTTTTTTTTTTTTAATCAAATATATTGAATATGGCCAATATTGTAGCATTTCAAATATATGTCAATATATTTGGGAAGAATATTTTTAAAATATATTTCAAACATATTTTGCTTCCATATGGGAACTCCTTTATTGATCAAAGTTATTCCATTCCAGAGACAAATACAAAGTTCCGATCTATGGCAAAGTTAATACGATAATAATTCTCTGGGATTGGAAAAAAGGGAAGGAGTATAAAGTACATGTGGCACTCTTTAGATAGTCCTTACATTATCTCAATCCTAGGCCTTAGCTCTGCAGCACATGCCAACCCCTCCCGTGAAAAGAGGAGCACACCCAACTCCCTCTCTATTGTTCTCTCTTCTGCAGCTCCAGACTGAGCCATGTTTTTAGATTCCACCTATGCTTGAAATAGGCAACTTGACTACATCTCCTCCTACCAGGAGAAGTGAGAACCAAAGGAGACTTACTCCTGCCTGCATGCAGAGAACTAAAGGTTATGGGAGGCAGTAAGTCACTAAAAACCTTACATGGGAGAGATATCCTGAAAGGTTTATCAATTTTTAGAAAATGAAGGCAAAAGAAGGGGACTTTAAAGGCCACCACAAAACATAGTAAAAGCTTTAAAATCAAAAAGGTTTATTACAAAATTTATAAAAACACTGTATATACAAGTACAAAGAAAATTATAGGGCCATATTGTAATCAATACAACCACCATGAGACATATGTTTCAATGGTACATGTGAAAGCTCTGCTGCGTGTCAATTCTTGATAAGAATCTTTTTCAGGGGGTACTGTCAAGGTGATTACATTTAGAATAGAAGTGAAAAAAGTCACTCAACAAACAAGACATAGTACATATATTTTTTTTATTAGAAATGATCAAAGTGGACTAACTTGCGGAACTAAACTGTATATTATAAGCAATTAATAGGGGTAGAATGATCAACCCTCATAAATGCAGGTATCTAGCTGTTAAGGCACAAAGGACACCAGACAATTTCCCCACTGAATAGAAAAGCATGTGTAATAAGGCATAAAAGAAAAAAAAAGAAAAAGATTAGAAAATAATACATATGAAAACAGGTCTATACCCACCAGGGGCAGACTGGCCATTTGGAAACTCGGGCACTGCCCGAGGGCCCGGGGTCAGTAGGGTGCCCCATGAGATGCCCCTGGTACCTTTTTCATAGGCTTTTTTGAGTTTGGGCAAGGACACAGGAGCCCCATGATCCCCTATTGCCCGGGGGGCCCCATGAGTTGTCAGTCCGCCCCTGATACCCACCAATAGCTATAGGACCTCATACATGAAACATATACAGTATGTTTGTAATGGGTACCTTAAGGACTGATAAGCTTCAGAAGGAAAGCTTCAAATCCAAAGACAATGATGTCAAGCAATAATATGTAATATGTAGTAGATGGCAGTTTTCAGAAAATGGGTGAGATTGAAAGTAATAAACCCCTCCCCTAAAAAAACATATGCAAGCAAAAAAGATTATATAATATACTAACATACCCAAAACAGGGTAATAGTAAGAAATAGAGCCAGCCTAGATTACTAGAATCATAGATGATTGGGTTTGCCAACTTTTAGGACTTTTATCCAGTAATCTGCATCTTGGCTGGTGGGTGTATTTTCTGTTATGGGCTGTTAATTCTAGTAATCTAGACTGGCTCTATTTCTTACTTTTACCCTGTTTTGGGTTCTTTAGTATATTATGTAATTCTTTTTGTTTGTATATTTTTTTTTCAGGTGGGGAGTTTATTAATGTCAGTCTGACCCATTTTCTGAAAACTGCCATCTACTACATATTGCACATGGTTCAATGGTGTTTGAAGTACTTTGGCTTTGGATTTGAAAATATTCTTCTGAAGCATATGAGCTAATAAAGTACCCATTACACACATATATGTTTCATTTATGGTGTCCTATTAGGCATCAGTGGGTATAGACCTGTTTTCATATGTATTTTTTTGTAAACTTTTTCTTTTTTTCTTTTTTGCCTTATTACACATGCCTTTCAATCCAGTAGGAGAATCGTCCAGGTTTCTTTGTTCCTTAACAGCTTGATTCCTATCTTTATCAGGGGTTGATCATTCTGAATGAGTTACATATAATATACAATTTGGTCCAGTAAATTACTTCAGGTAGATAATCTCTATTAAAAAATATGTGTACTATTTTCTCTGTTTTGAGAATTTTCTCAATTGTATTCTAGATGTAACCACCTTGACAGTACTCCCCGATGAAGATTCTTATCGAGAACTGAAATGTGTCAGATTTTTCATGTACCATTACATGCATATGTCTCATGGAGGTTGAATTACAGTATGGACCAATAATTTTCTTTGTATTTGTATGTATGGTGTTTTTATAAATTTTGTAAAAAACCTTTTTAATTTTAAGCTTTTAAAGTACCTTTCTTTTGCTTTCATTTTCTATATACCTGAATTGGGATATGGCATCAAATTTAATCGGATTGGGCTCTATTATTGTTTATCAAGATTTAACAAAACCCTTTTGTATTATTGTGCAAAAAACATAATGGGGGAGATTTAATAAAACTGGTGCACACAGAATCTGATGCAGCTGTGCATAGTATCCAAACAGCTTCCAGGTTTTATTGTCAAAGCTTAATTGAACAAGCTGAAGTTAGAAACTGATTGGTTACATCTGCATCAGATTCTGTGTGCACCAGTTTTAGTAAATCCCCCCATTATATACAGCGCTCAACTATGTTGATACAAAATAAAACACACAAATGCTTTGCATTTCCTGCACCTTACCATGTACATTTTTTAACATGTTTTTATATTTTCTCTGACTTCTTGTTCTGCACATGAAAAAGGGAGGGTGGTTTTTAGGAGCACGGGAATTAATATTAAATTGAGTGGATTGTGGCTGTTACTGGAGGAAAGAGGGTGCCTGGTGTGGGGGATGAGATAGTGGAGGACCAGGGTTTGGAGAGATATTCCAAGAGGTTAGGAGAAGGAGGGTGAGCAAAGTAAGATGGGAGCAGGATGTATATGAGTGCACCTGCTTTCCTGTCCTGGTGTTTGGGTCAGAAGGTGAGTAGAGTAACAGGAGGTGATGAGAGCAGTAGTAGGGAGATGGTAGAAGTGAGGGTGAGATGTATAAGCTTTGGGGTGGAGCAAAGGGGTAAAGAAATGAGATTTGGAAACACAGGATAGTAATATGAAAAGGAGGAGTAGAGGTGGCATATTAAAAGGTACATGGAGTGGCAATTAGACTTTTAGGAGATGTTTCCCAGGGTGTTTGTTTGCAGTCCATCCAGCATGCAGTAGAGTTCCTTTTTGTTGTATCTTCCTGCTGCTTGAGTTATCCTGCTTTAGTTAAACTGCTATGTTCAACTGCTGTGTCACGTAACTGATGGGAGACTGAATTGACGAGGTCAGCCTCACTTGTGTCACTAGCCCTGACCTCGCTGAGGTTGGAACAGAGGGAGTCTAGGGACCAGGGGGCAAGAGCACCAGTGGTTGTTGCTTGCGACTCTTGCAGGTGGTGACCTTGGTAGGCAGAGTATCCTCTAGGTCATAGGATAGCCGGGGTCATCAACAGTTGGGCAGCGTGGTACAGAATCAGAAGGAAAAGCCAAAGTCAGGAGCAGAGCCGAAGTCAGGAACCAGGAGCAGGAGAGTAATCGGAGTCGGGTCAGGAACAAGCCGGGTCAGCAACAAAGGAATCGTACAGAAGCAAGAAGGACACAGGGGGAGCTGAAGACCAGTCAGCACTGAACCTGAGCAGAGGCCCTCCTTAAATAGCCCGCCTGGCGCCAATCTTCGCCGTGTGTGTGCATGTGCACGATCACGCATTCCTGCGCGCCTGCGCACAACCGGCAATTCTTCTGCGGGATCTCTTTTGCGCATGCGCGTTCCCGATCGCGATTCTTCTTGCCGGAAATCCCTTACATGCTGCTTCACACTCCAGCATCAAACACACTTACGCAGAAAACTGCACCCCATCTGTGACTGTGCCCCCCGTCTGTATGACATTTCAGAATATGGGTTGGGTTTGCAGCTGGAAAACACTACAAATATTAACAACTTTTTTTTGCCTTAAAACCACAGAAGGAGGAAATCACATGAGGTTGGCTTTATTCAGGCTACAAAACCCCACATGATGGAACATTATTTAAAGTTTAGAGCACTAGGCTGACTTCCATACCTAAATGGTCTCCCATGGTAACAACAGCACGCTTGTTCACCTCTGGTTCTCCCGTCTGATTAGACAACATTACAGCCAAGTGAGGCCTCCAGTCTCCCCAGTTTGGGTCCCCATTGCACTGTAACAATAAATTGTAAGTAAATAGTAATTTATAAATAAGCTATATGGATACATCCAGAGGTTATGACAATATTAACAGAGAAAAGTACAGTGTGCTGGAAATACAGATACTAGATCATGGCAGCATTGACTGGTTTACCTTCATAGGTAAAGCAATATGCAGCATGCTAGCCAATAGCAAGAAACCAGTAATTATCTGTATCTAATCAGTTGTTAGGGGTTATTGTACTTTTTGATATCACATAATAAATAAGCCAATAACTAACTTCCAAAACTGATGATATCTACAAAAGCAATACAAATTAAAGATAGGCGTAATAGCTGTGCAAATTGTTTTTTATAAATACACATCTATGTAGATATACTTTATAATGATGCTGCATATTTTTTTCAGGAAAGCATTTTGCTAGTCAATTAGTAAATATATGGTGTGTCACCTCTGCCTACCTATCTACCGTTGGCTGTGGCCTATTTTGGCTCTCAAGAAATCAGGCATTCATAACTGACTACAGAACCTAGTACTCCTGAGTGCTTAACTGTAGGCAAACAGCTTAAGGTGCAGTTCAAATGCATATGTAGGGTCTGTTCTGTCTGCAGAAGCATTTTTTTCCCTGTACATCCGGTCCGGCAATTTACAGACAGCAAAACTAGGTGTGTGGCTTGACTTTTGTCTACCATACAGTGACCAGACATTCTCAGTTTACAGGGATAGTCCCCGATTTTAAGGGCTGTTTCTGGGGAAAAAAGTCCCGATTTCATCCCCAGTTAAAAGAATGTGTCCCCAATTTTTCTTCCCTCCTTATTAATGGCATCCCTGGCTTGGGAAGCTGCATCTTAGCACCTTAATAAAATGTATAAAATATTTATTGAGATAAAAGTATTGCACTCACATAGACGTAAATGTGCATTATAAAATCTCAAATCCACATGTACAGGCTGCCATGTTCAGCGTGATCACGTCACGTTACGTAAAAACCCTGCCCTATGTGTTTTTTTGTCATAGAATCATGTCGTCAGGGGCATGGCTAGTGACCATCACCATGGTATATACAGCCAGTGCGTCTGACATCAGATGGGCTTAATCATGCATGCAATCCAGCTCCTAGAAATATCGTTAGTGTTAATCTACCAGATAGGCCAATTATAAGATCTTAAAGAGTTTTTTCCTTGTCGAAAATGTGGGTTTGTAAACTGAATCCATTAAAAGGGAGATGTTTTTGTCAATTCCAATCACAGATAACTTCTAAATCCTACGATATTAAGTCTTTTATTACTTGTACAACAACAAGTGTGGTTTATTTGATACAGTGGCCATGTGGACTACAATATGTAGGCCACAAAAGTTATGGCATTACAAACTAGGCTGAATGAGCATGTTGCAAATATCCAAAAAGGTTTTCCGGGACATAGTGTTTCCCAGCACCATGTGTTCAATCATTGGAAAAATCTGAAAGGTACTTCTTTTTTTGCTATAGAGTTTTTCTAACTGGAGAGGTAGTCTTGTTCAGTGAGAAGTTTCTAAAATGGAAACTCACTGGATATATAATTTAAAAACGTTTACCTCATTCGGGTTGAAAACACTGAATGGAGTGTAAATTATTTTATTAATAACAGTTCATTTATATTGTGATATATTTTTCTTAAAAATATGATTTTTCTGTATGGTGACATGTTACTATTTCAATGTATTTTTGTATGTATTATTGAATAATCACAATCATAATAAGATGGCGCAAGTTTGATTACTGATTCATTGGAATTTTTTTTGTGTTGCAGTTACTGAATCACAGGAGCAGTTTCGTTTCCTGTGTTTAGTTTTGTTCCTTGTGTTTGGTTCTGCTTCTGGAGCTTGGAGAGTATTTGGTTCTAAGGATCCTTCTGGTCCTATGAGCTTCATTCTTATAGAGCTAAAACGCATGCATGGATGAGCCCATCTGAAGTCCGGTGCACTGGCTATACAGTATATAGCGTGGTGACAATCACTAGCCATGCCGCTGACGATGTCATTCTATGACGAAACGTGTAGGATGGAGTTTTACATGATGTGTGACATCATCATGCTGGATGTGATGGCTTGTACATGTGGATTTGAATTTTTGAAATGCACATTTTTATTACATCTATGTGAGTGCAATACATTTATGTTAATAAATATTTTATATGTTTTACTACACTATGGAGTGGTTTTCATAGTTTTATGAGGAGTATACCCATTAAAGTTGGGTGAAGAGACCTTTGTATGTACTGTGGCCGGAGAGAGTGTCATCCTAAAGGTGCAGTTGACCACTCCCATTATCTGAGGGTCAACACTGTCTGGTAAGCGTTTTGGCTCATTCACTGTGGGTGTTGTGTGGATCAACGTATGCACAGTGGAAGGTTTTGGATACATATCTTTCCTGCACTCTTCATTGGGATTATTTGAATGGACACAAATTCTCAGTACTTCAATGTATTGATGTCATTATATTATGGTTTTAGTGCTGCAAGAATATGAATTATTTGCCATTGTTCATAATGGTGACCTGCATTGCATGTCTGGGTCTGCATTCCTGATTCAGCGCAAAGTAGTCTTTGCTGTTAAACCATACCCCTTTAAGTCCCTCCCACTGCACAATTTGGCCACACCCAGCATGTGTTATGGTGCACTTCCCATGCTGCTATAATCCCCACCCACTGCTCTGCCCTGCCCCACCTCAATAAAAGTAGGTGTAGTTGTCTCTGGCTTTCTTTTTGAAAATCTGGTCACTTTACTCTCCAGCTGTGAAGCAGTACAGCTTGGTCACCTTCTTCTCCCCACCAGTTTTTAACTGGGCAGTACGGGAGAGGCAGCTGACTGCTGAGATTAACCTGTGCTTTCACCTCCTGTCTGCTTGATCATGTCAGAAAATGTGATTGCTTCTTCCTCATCCAATCTGAGTTCTCCAGGGGGTAAAAAGAAGCCGGTACCAACTGGAAATTCAGGCACATTTTTGGTACTTTTTACTATCAGTGGGGCTGCTGCGTGGAGAGACTGTTCTTCTTACAGTGTAACTCTGCCCTTGGAATTTGGACTTCTGCTGGGGAGTGGTTTAACTACCAATTACAGTAGGAAACTTATATTTAAACTTTTTGCACACTGTGGAATGTATCTACTGTAATTTTCATTATGGCTTCAATCAACCAGTTGCATGCTTCATATCTGCGTAAGATCAATAAACAAAATGGCTGCATCTAATATGAAAGGTGCACTTTAAATTTGTATTCTGTTTTATTCTAAAATGCATTTTTAGCAGTACATGGGTTAATTTTGTAAGCCTAAATAATATTAAGCAATACTTTAAATCTTTCAAGTTAACCCAGAAATCTTTGGCTTTTCTTTAATATGTTTGCCATCTGTGCTCCAATGTACTTTTAGAACTGCGTTATCCACAGTCCCATGCCAAGTAAATATAATTAAGGAGTATTTTCATCACCTTGGGATTTTCAAAAACTTGGTGCTTGGCATGCAAAACATATTATTTAATTTCTGCTGTCTGAGGCTAAAACACTGCATTTTAACATAATTGTGTTTTTAAAGGAAATCTTTCGCCAAGATTTTACATAATCATAATTTCTAGGAAAAATAGACTCTAGTTTATTACAAACGTCTCTATTTGGAAATATATTTTGTACTACTTTTCTGCTAATCCTAAATCACCAGAAAGGTCACTAAATGTTGCCATTGGTTAACTGAAGAAAGAATAGCAATTGCCAGTAAACCAGGGCCTATGAGTAATGATAAACCAACAATTGATCACATATATAAATACTGTATAATAATAATATTTGATCGTTTCAAACAAACTTTTCCTAAAAAAACAATTACTCAACAGAGCAAAGAAGGGGGAAGTTTGATGGAATTTTACAAAGGACCTTTTCAATTAAACCTTCATTTACTGATCAAATGACCCATTGATGTAACTGCTTCTGAAAGAATCTGTCATCAAAATCATCATGGTGTTTTTTTGTGTAAGGCCAGCATTATGTTTATCATACCACGTCACTTGAACTTTTTTTTTACCTGGCACTAAACCCAAAAGCAAACATTTATTTTACTGTAGCTTTCCAATGTGATGGCTGCATTAGTTTACTTTTTTAGGTTTTCTTTCTTCTATTTTCATCTGGTGATCTAGCCAGCAGAGCTGTTGTTTTTCAAAAGCACAAGCTCTCCAGCAGAATGTATCAGTTTACATGGATGAGACAAACCATTTAACAATGCGGTGCTTACAATGATCAGCTTTTATTTATTCATGTCAAACCTTTAAAACTGTTTGCTGTAACTGATTATAAAGTGTGAGCTAGAGTTTGGTTTCAATTTGTTTTTGTTTATTTAAATCTGCTAATACATTTATTACTCCCCTCTCCCCAGACTGACAATACTGCTGTGTGTTGTGCCCCCTGTGCTCCTTCATCTAGAGTGGTGCCTTATTAATACAAGAGGTGTGTTACTGGCCAGATCATCAGGTAAATGAGAGAAAAAAGCCAAAGAAAAGAAATCTGATGCAGTCACCACATCTAATGACTGGTAAGCTGCAGTAGAATATATTTTGGTTTTCGGTTTAATATTGCTTTAATTGTTTACTGCAAACTTTAAAGTATCAACTACACAATATCTGAATTCTCCAAAAATAATCCATACACATCCACTACTTAATAGCCTCATCATGAATTTTTCATGGAATCATTTCTGTGTTTTCCTGCCTCCTTGTAACATCCTCGTATGAGCTCCCAAACCTCTCATTTTCCCTTTACCCTCCTTCACTTTCATTGTTTGGAATGAGCAGTGAATGCTTGCTGTGGTTATGTGCATTGCTCTATGCACACTACACATCCTATAGACCGTAGTCAAGGAGCAAGTAGCTAAGGGTGGCTATGTTCCAATATATAGAGGAACCATGGAGAAGGAATGTAACCACCAGGAAGTTGGGTCACAGTATCAGAAAAAA